GAAGGAGGGAGGGATTTGGGAATATAAAGAGGGGAGTCTTCTTGTTAGCTATGAAGATATTGTCCATGAAGCCGTCCTTGATATTTCACGATCAAAGGTGTAATGCTCTTTGTAGAAGCGGTCATTATATATTGTGGTACCATGATATGGTCATATAAGCTGTGTTATGATGAATGAATTTGCTAAAAGAGAAGTGTTTTAGCATTTATTTCCTAGTTAGCGTGATGGTTTTGGTCAATTTGTGATTAAGAACAAATTCTTCTTCACTAGCACAATGTTTAGGGCGTGAAAGAAATATCTTCTGAGCTAGGTGTATGAAAAGCACTGCATTGGTATTCTATATGACTAAATTGTATTAGCAGTTTCATGTTACTAATGTAATCCTGTTGGAGAAATCTATTTGTTTCTGATTCATTTCAATTTATCTTCTCAGGGTGAACCAAGTTTTCATCTATTTGGATTCATAATATGTGTCGGTGCAACAGCTGCAAGAGCACTCAAGTCAGTGCTTCAGGGGATTTTGCTGTCTTCTGAAGGGTAATTATTACATAGATTTATGTGTTCTGTATACGAATAAATCTGTAGTCAAGTTTTGTGCTTTTTGATGTGAACATTTTGGGGTGTAGGATATGAATGCTGAAACGTTTTCTTTTGAATCAAGGGAGAAGCTGAATTCCATGAACCTTCTACTCTATATGGCTCCTATAGCAGTTGTGTTTCTATTACCGGCGACGCTTATGATGGAAGAAAACGTAGTTGGCATCACATTGGCACTTGCAAGAGATGATAGTAGAATAATCTGGCTTTTGCTATTCAATTCTGCCCTTGCATATTTTGTAAATCTCACCAACTTTCTGGTGACAAAGCACACCAGTGCTCTAACACTTCAGGTACTCTTCTTCATTCACTAGTCAGATTTCTTTTAATATGAATTAGTCTTTTATATTGTCAGATAAGGTTGACTTATGCTCATTATTTCCATTAAAAAAATTAAAGAAATTATGATATGATCTTCTCTCTATGTTGTGAAAATGTCTGTCATTGAATGTCGGGATAACTCCACGAATTATGCATGGGCCTATTTATGCTTATTCGAAAATCTTGTCTCTTTCCTGCTTCATCAAATATAGCTCTTTTATTTAGTTTGATCATTTGATTTTCTGGGAGTTGCTTTTCATTGTCTTCCTTGCTAGTAAACAGTCTTCTTAAAGCTTCAATGTTTTCATCTATTATATCTGTCTGATGTTTGGTTTACTATCAATTTGCTATTCAAACATTTTGGAATCTTTGTATATGCTGTTTTCAATTGATTGTTCCAGACTTATATACTAGGGATTTTATGTGCAATTGAATGAACTTGCATTTCCTCCCCTTATTCATCATAGATACCATGAAGTAAGGTATCAGCCTATCAAGTAGATGAATCAAATACTTGGAAAAATTACACAAAAACGCGAAAATAATAGAGATTATGGGAGTGTTGCAAGGCACCTACTTGTAGTTTGGACTTTGGAGAGGATTAGAAGTACTCAAGCTTAGCCCTATATAGGAAATTTTCTCTTCCAGTGACAAACCTGTTAAGGAATGGAGATAACTTCTCATTTCACAATGTTTGTATGTTTACTAAAAAGGGAAAAAACGGAGTTGCATTTCAAGACTCATCCTCTTAGAAATGGCTGGGGATTTATCACATAAAATCACTTATGTTATTTTACCGGATGTTTTAGGCCACAGATTAGAGCCTTGCACCAAGTGAACTAACTCTGTATTTAAGTGGAGAAGGGTAGAGGGGAGGGGGGATCATCCCCGAGTTTCGAAGGCTGCGGTTGGCCCAAAGGATCGGCTCCAGATGGATTTCTCGGTCATGAAAAAAAATGTTACATTTTGGAAATGAAGAACTTTTTAATTTGAAAAGAGGTGTCGGCTAATTTTGATGGAGCAGATAGGAAATTGAGTAAATTAAAATTGGGATGGAGAGAGGATAAATCCTTGAATGGTCTACCTTACTTATATTTGTTCCGTTCAATTATCATGGTTTCGTAATTTCTCTACATTGGGTTTCGCTGTTCGTTGTTATTACCTTATTCTTTTTGGTTAAGGAGCAATGCGCGTTCTTTTGATCTCTTCTATTGATTCTTTGTCCTTACGACAAAAATTGCTTGCTTTCACAGGTCCTGGGAAATGCGAAAGGAGCTGTAGCTGTTGTCATCTCAATCTTAATATTTAGAAACCCGGTGTCAGTCACAGGGATGCTCGGCTATGCACTGACAGTTTTTGGGGTCATACTCTATAGTGAAGCGAAGAAACGTAGTAAATGAACATTGAAAAATCTTCAACTTGCAACTTCTGACATTAATTGTCTGTTGAAGAAACAATAGTTCAACTTTCAGAGGCAAGTTGGATCATGCTTTTGCAATTGTTGTCACAGATTTTTTCCTCGAATTTGTATCTTTTTTCCCGGAAACCTGGGAAACAGACTTTCCATCTGTATCGGCCAAGAGATAAAATAGGCTGAATAGAAAGTCTTAAGAAGTTACTTGATCTATCTATCCATTCATTCCTGGCATGGATAGTATAGATATGTTTTGTTTTTGTTTTTTTCAGGAAGATTGTAAAACTGGGACTGCACAATATGTTACCTATAGTTGTCAAATTTTGATTTATTAATGGAAGGATCTCAAAATTGGAGATCTGCAAACGGCTATGTGATTTCTTTCTATCTACCAAAGTCTTGGTTGTTTGTGGGAGATAGCAGGTATTCGGTGGAATAGAGAAGGTGCAAGCAAGCTATCTTGGACACCACTATTAAAAAGAAGTGTGTTCTCACACGTTATGTTTTTAGGTTCATGGCGAATGTTTCGAAGAGTTCAGCACTTTGATTTGAAACCTCAAGCATTACATGCTCCTTTTTCTTGTTACAATTATGACTCCCCTTTGGACTTGGAAGTAGTCCAATCTGCTCCTCAGCTGATTGCCTGATTCAAACTCAGCAACTGCTGATTATCACTTGATTTCCCAATGGACTAGCTTCATGTTCCAAAAAGCAATGGTTATGGTACTGGGAATCTGCTGTCATGCCCGCACGGATTGGCTTTTTCGGCTACTCTACATCGAGCCCCAAAAGCGCGTGTATCATGTGAATTTATGTTATACTTCATAAAACTCTTCACTTTCCTCTCCTATTCCGATGAGGGATTCCTTGAAGGTGACATGTGTACTCCTTCTCCAGGTTTCTTGCCAACCTAGAAGCTTGTCAATCCTGCTTGACCTGTCCTCATCAGCCCGCTCTTCGCCATAGGCGTCACTTTTGCGTTCTGCATTTGTAGCTTCTTCTGCGCAAGCCCCCACTCGTACACACACATAAAACAGAGACTCCACGAATCTTACTAGTGGCTTAGCAGCTAAAGTTGGAGTCATGCATCAAAAAGTTTATCGATTCAAGAACTTTCTTAATTAGGACTGTAGCACCAGTCATAGTTCAACCACTGTGATCTTGCTCCTTTTCTCATTTCTTTTGCTGGGTTTTGGCACCACTTGAAGTATGCGTATTCGATTACTTATCGACGTTAACAATCTTTTACAATGCGACATGATTTATTGCTAGAGTTAACCTATTAGAGCAAAATCACAGCCACATACAAGCAGAAAACTCCACAGACATGCATTTTTTAGTAAAATGAATGATTATATGGACTAGCTTCCATTATTAGTTTCCTACTTTCCTTTAACATGTCTATGTTGGTACATAAGTCACATGGATGTTCCAACTAACTAGCTTAACCAGTATAAAGATATTTTCAATAACTGGAAAGTGCAATCAACAACCAAAAACAAAGACAGAACAATAGATGACTATGTATCAACACTCGTATGAACTGCACAAGTTACTCCAGCCAAAGTTGATGAGAAAACAGCAGGATCGCTTAACATCCAAAGGTTAAAGGAACAACAACAGGATATAGTTTTCACAATCGTGGAAAACAGATCACACAGTAAAATCAAGATGGTGCACCACACCGAGATACAAAGAAAGAGGAAGAAAACTTTCCAGTTAAAAAGACCAAGCCTTTCTCCTTTCAGAGATATAGTTTAAGAATCTGGAACAGTTGCTGCTGGACGCTTCACTGAAGCACACTTGATTAAATGATTGTAGCTGCCTTTCTCCTTGAAAAGCTGTGAAAAATGAGGTTTGCAGTATAAAATCCCATCTAGTGCAGCATAATTCGAAGGATTTAAAGAGCATCCGCCATGAGAACACTTGAAACATGACTTATGATAACTTTGGTTCTCCACTGTTACCTGAAAAACATGTGCAATCAACTTAGATACAAATCCAAAAGCTGAAATGTTGGGCAAGTGTGGCCTACGATTGAAGAGGAAAATATTGTCAACAATTAAAAATGATGAAAGGAACTCTAAGCTTAAAAGCTCTGGGATTTAAACAACAACAAACCAAATGTAATCCTACAAGTAGGATCTGGGGAGGGTAATGTGTACAACGACCTTACCCTTACCTTGAGAAGGGGGCTTTAAACAAGACAAAAAATAAGTTGTTCACTTTGATAACTGGTCCACAGATTTTTACACATTTAGATATCAAGACAAACACATAAGTTAACCACAATCAGATCAAACTAGCTTCCTGCTGCTGGATAAAAGAAGCATATGGAAGGTTCAGACGACACAGTTTTTTTTTTTTTTTGGAATTATTATATACCACACAGACTTTACCTTAATAAAGTTCAAGTTCTTTACTACCTTACAACTCAAAAGTGGAAGTTTACATACGTGAGGCAACTGAGAAGATGGGGTAGTATAAACAACTTACTAGCAGTGGCGGAGGCAGAATTTCCACTAAGGGAGTTAAAAAAAAAAGTTAAAAAATCAAAAGAGACTGTGGACAATGGGAGTTGAACCGGGTTTTGAATCCCTTTAACCGGTGAGCTATGCTTTTGCGCTGTGTCAGGGAGATTCAAAATATAATATATAGAGGCACAAAACTAGATTTTACATTATATGTATAGTGTAATTTTTCGGCGAAAGGGGTTCGGGTGAACCCTCTTCCGGCCCCCTTAATCCGCCCCTGCTTATTAGTAGCTCCGAGTTAGTATTCAGTGGGATGTCTAATGAGAAAGTAGAACATATTGTTCAGCATTAGATGATACTTCTCTTTTTTATTTCTAAGCCGCGGGTGAGTGAGAGGGGATACAATTTGCTCAAACTCAGAAATTGCATAGCATCAGTTTCTGGCACTATCTTCAAAGAACTACTAATGATCATTTTTGTGAGCAAATAAGCTCGAACTTTTGGGAATTCAGTTCATCTATGCTTAAGTTAACTTTCTCTAAACCCTTTTAAGAGAATAGACGACGCATATCAAACTGAAGATACTTGAACTTCTTATGTTGTTATATTCTATCTTTAATTTAAACAAAGCATACATAGACACTACGACAATTCTCAACCATGTAAAATGTCCATTCGAGGCGCGAGCAAGTTCAACTATCCTAAATATCTTTTAGCTATTATCCACTCCTTTAGGTTCACTATATTGTTATTCATTGTTGTGCAGAAACACAGCATGTTTCAATTGAAAGAGAACATATTCCCAACATAAAGACATGGCTTGTATATTTCATTATTTCCACACTGCAAAGCCACTTAAAAGCTAAATCTGCTTTCATGTGCCTCTAGAAAATGAGTAACGTTACAAGAGTATTCCATGAATCCAACAACAACAATAAAAAAATCCAGTATATTCCCACAAGTGGGGTCTGGGAAGGGTAGTGTGTACGCAGACCTTACCCCTACCTAGTGAAGATAGAAGGGTTGTTTCCAATAGACCCTCGGCTCAGAAAGGGTGAGGAGAAGAGTATTCCATGAATCCACGGTGCACAATATCAAACCCGAAATCAATTGAGGCCATTGCTTGTAGGGGACACAAATGAAGCCTTTTGACACACAAAGACTAACTCCAGAAACAAAAAACTTATTATTATTATGAGCACTCCCCCCCACCCACC